CCGTAGCTAAAGACTGCACGTGGCAATTAAATTTCAGTGGTAAAATATGGACAGCCAATATTTAGTTGTGACAGCTAAATATATATTGTGCCTATCAGGTGCGACGGCAAACCGGTTTCTGTGCTTCAGAAATTTATAGTCGTGGCTGCAAAATAGTTTCAGCAAGCCACGATGAGCAACGGTAGCGAAGATGTTGATTCAATGTAGATATTTTCTGTAACCGCGTGTAAAAAGCGGCCGCGCAAACGGAGGGGTTGTTCACTACGTAAAAGGAACAGAAAGCAAAGTATAATAGTACGGCGAAGATCGAGGGATGAGTGTATCTTAATACACACGGCCATGTGCGTGTTTACTAGGAAGGGCTATCTCTCATTGATCACACTGGCTACGTTATCGATCTCCAACGCGGCCAGGTGCGATCCCGAAATTCTTATCCTTATCACTGTCGTGACTTACGCCATTCGGAGACAGTCGGAGGGACAAAGAAAAGATCGGGTCCAAGTCTGCCGAGGTATTTGTCGTTGAAGAAGACGAAAGATTACATATATTTTTCATACGATTTATACAATTCGCGATAATCCTTATCGCGTATCTCGATGCATTTGACGTGTATTTAAAGGAGAAGTCATTTCGATTTGATACCGCGGTGTATCACGATTGCACGCGGCTTGGATCGCTCGTCTCGTCGCTTCGTCTTACGACGCTGTAAGTCTATTTCCGAGTCACATACGAGTCGAGATAATCGGTCCCAAACGAGAGAAATAGATGATGAGATATATTAACTGGGTTAGCGCGGGTTTCAGCCAATTTTCGCGATCGCAAGCGTAGATTCGTATTGTTCGTCGTCAATCGAGCGAGTTCCACGAAAAGGTTGCGAGAATAAACTTATTTCGCTCGAGCGACTCGCCTTGATAAAAACGGTCCCAGCAGATTCTTCGAAACTTCCCTCCTTCGCGTTCACAGAGAGCTAACGTTGCTAAAAAGGCAGAAATTGTAATTAACATACAAAATTTGGCAACTTCCTGAACAAAGTTAGCTTGTGAAATCTCAGGTTTTATTAATCTTTGTACAAATTCGGAAGCTAATTGTTGTTTAACTATTCTATATATAACAAAATGTATTACAGCGTCAACCATAGTATAACTAGTAGGTCCACTCTCTGTCGGCCCCTTTGATCTTTGCGGTCCCGATCACGTGGTATTCCAGCGATGCGTGTGTGTGTGTGTGTGTGTGTGTGTACTCATCAAAGCCACACTACCGCACATACAACTTTTCTCTCATTGGTCTGCCCAGAACAATGCCGAATGTGCAGAAGGGATCGACGCGAAACGAAACAAGTGTCGGAGTGGACCTACTAGTTGTACTATGACGTCTAACCAACCTCGATATGCATGTAATTTCTCAAACACATTATCAACGATATTTGTCCAATTTGTGCCTTTTGTACTTTATCCTTTCGTACATCTTTTTCATTTGTATACAACCTCGGAATCGCGGGAACCGTTAATTTGCTTAACGTGCACCGTCAGATAATCTCTCGATAATCTCTTTCGTTGCGCCTTCGTAGAAGTTTCTTTGAAATGGCGCGTCCATGAATGTCAAAGATCTCATTTACAGCAATGCAAAACAATCTGAAGAGCTCTATTCATTCGTGCGACGGTGCACATATCCGCCTCATCTCTAATTAGCGATTAATTAATAGCTTCCTAGCTAACACGTATGTGGCGTCTTCAAGGCGTTCGATATGCTTATAAGATTGAAAAATTTTAAGACGTTTCTTTAATGACACGTTAGTATTCTCTGGGTTAATTGTCCTAGATAATAGCGGGCCAAAGGAGAAATTAGGTTTCGTGTCAACCGAGAACTATCTGATTGCGTGCAATTCTTTTATGCATTTAATTTGCAATGAGCCGCGAGCGAAACTCGAGCCAGTATCGAGCAACGTATATTACTACACATTTACGTATGACAAAAGACTCAACAAAATTGCGAAGATTAACAAAGAGCGAACATTTTATTTCTGGTGAATGTCAGATATCTCGTTTACGGCAATGCAAAACAATCTGAAGAGCTCTATTCATTCGTGCGACAGTGCACATATCCGTCTCATGTCTAATTAGCGATTAATTAATAGCTTCTTAGATAACACGCATGTGGCGTCTGGAAGACGTTTGATAACCTTATAAGACTGAAAAGTTTTAAGACATTCGTCTTAATATTTTCTGGGTTAATTGTCCTAGACAATAGCGGGCCAAAGGAGAAATTAGGTTTCATGACGACCCAAAAACTATCGAGGAATAAAAAGTGAGAAATATTGTCGGTTAAAACCAGATTACGTAAGACCAGCAAACCTGACACAATGTCTGCGTTTCAACATTTTAGAATGTCTTACATAATTCGGAGATCATTGCCCCTCGGCGCGCGGCGCCGGCTTATCGGTTACCATTGTCCGACGACAATATTGATCATGTGTTGAATTTATATGAGTCGATGTATAGAATGTATCCATTTATCCAAGTTGCGCCCAAGTTGATAACATTTTCGAATACAAAATGGACGCTTTAGTTCGTTTCATTTAATTACTCTCTTGCGTGTTGCAAATATATACACGTATAATACATTCATCATGCTGATCACTGTTCTATATTCATGTCTCATTAATTTTCGCCACGCGTATACTTGGCGCGAGGCACTACCGTGTGTCTCTTGATGTCTTCCAGTTTCGTTATTTTCGCGTATCTTTCAGGATCGGACTTAGTATAGCCACAAGACCATGGCTTTGGCTGATAATTTCCCTGTGCCTAAATCTCATCTGCGGCTTCGGGCTGATACTGTGGAGAGAGGAGATCGACGAAGTCGAACTCTACATGCCAGTCGATTCTATATTTCGCAAGGATGCCGCGTGGGTGAAGGAGTATTTCCGAGACGATCTCAGGCACGAAAGTCTCATCGTCACTGCCCCCAACGTGCTGGACCCCGAAGTGCTGCGATCGGTACATAGGCGATCATGAATTATACGAGTATCAGCGAAGGTTCTTTTCCATATTAATGCACACTTCTCTCCGCGATAATTCAACTAATCGTCACCACATTTATTCGCGACGGTCGCAATCAAATTTTCTGTTTACATTGTAATACATTTTTAAGATAAAAATCGACCAACAATCACTGATCACCGAATCGAGATTATATTCGCATGATTTTTTTTCCCTTTAAATCAAACTAGCTATGTGCGTTAGATTTAAAAAAATCTCCGATCGATTTTAATTCATCATGATTGTCAATTTTGTAATACTCATTTAATTAAGGAACGCATTATGAGTTATCTCTTAATTGCATTTGATTGTGTACGTAATTGTAGATTAGAGATATCGAGAGAGACGTGAAGAATATAGTGATAAATAATAATACTTGGGAAGACGTGTGTGCTGGGTTAGTATCTTCATTATGCAAAAGTATGATTAGTTATATGTACAATATTTATGAAATGAATGAAAATCATCAGATAGTTGCTTAATAATCTGGATATTTAATACAATGGCATTTTTTCCCCCCACGTGTATAAAATATTTGTGTTACAGATATTTTACGTGGTTTCAAAAAGATGACAAGTGGGAAACCATGGATAAAACTGAGTTTCCCGAAGAATATCTGCCTATTATAAATAGTACGATGGCGAAGGAACCCTGTATTCATAAGTCGGTCCTGAAGATATGGCAGAAGGACCGTAGGAATATCGATAAATTAACGAAGATCAGGATACTGAAAGATGTTACCGCGACTTTACAAAATAAGTAAGTTACTGGAATTTTGCAGATTCGATAAAATCGAATCGCTCGAAGTTTCGCGTGAAATATAAGGATACAGACTATACAACATATTGTAAATTGACGCGCTCCTTGGTTTCTAGAAGCGGAATTTTTTAACGAAACAATTTTGTTTACGACGACTAACAATTAATGGCTTTACATTCCTCTTGATATATGTACATCTCTCTTTCTGTTCTCTCTTTACATGAACTAATTCGCTCTGTGCAGGAATACTAAAGACATATTATCTGACATCGCACCGTTATTGGGCGGCGTCGAATACGACCAGAAGGGGAGGGTGAAGAGCGCTAGCGCGACAATTCTATACTGGTTGCTGAAGAAGTCCAATTCGCATTCACCTGATTGGGAGGTCGAGTTCATCGAGAGGGTACTGCACCCGAATCGTACCCTGCCGCCGGGCATGGAGATGTATGCGGTGACGCTACGCAGTTATCAGGACATGCTGCACGAAGTGGTCAACAGTAACATGACTGTGTTATTCTGCGGGATGTCACTGATCACTATCTACGTGATTGTGATGATTGGCAGGTGCAACGCGATGCAGCAACGGATATACCTATCCCTCATAGGTATCTCTGTGGTTGGCCAGGCTATCCTGTCGTCTTATGGATTGTGCTATTACATGGGATTCTTCTACGGTCCAGTGCATCCGATCCTGCCGTTTCTACTGCTTGGTATTGGCGTCGACGACATGTTTATTATCATGCAAAGTCTCGAAACTACGTCAGAGACGGAGAAGTCTTTAGACATCCCCGCCCGTATAGCAAAGTCCATTCAAGTATCAGGTGCGAAAGTCTTAACAAGCCTCAACGTCGAAGAAAAATAGAAATAACTCACGTCACGGATATATCTATAAATGCATTTTGAACATATTTCGGGAACTTGAAGAATATCTCGACGAAATAAGTTCATGCGATCGTTTTCGACGACGACATTAATAGAATCGTCGAGATAAACGTTTTTGAGGCAATCTGTATATACAATTCAACATACATTTAACAAATTTTATAGGTATGTCCATCACTGTTACGTCGCTCACCAACATGGTGGCCTTCGCAATTGGTATGACGACGGTGATGCCGTTCCTGAAGTCCTTTTGTATTTTCGCCGCAATGGGTATATTATTCCTTTATATCTACGAGATCACATTTTTCGTCAGCTGTCTGGTGTACGACGAGAGGCGATTGGCGGCGAAACGGGAGGGTTGCTGTTGCCAGCCGCGACCCAATTGGCGCCCGAACGAATGCAGCAAGCAAAACTTTCAGCGATACGTTTTTGAGAAATACGTCGGGCCTTGTGTGATGCGAACATCGGTGAAGGCGATCATCTTGTTAGTCACCGCTGTCCTACTAGGTGTTAACGTGTGGGCGATATTTCACTTGAACCAGAACTTCGATCCGCTCGTCTATTTAAATCAGGAGTCCTATCCCATACGATTTAACAACAAGTTGAAGGAATATTTTCCCAAGTACGGCAAGAATGTCAACATATACCTGACGGGAGTGGACTATTACGAGGATCGTGACGCATTGTTCCAGATGGTGGAGAATCTGAAGCAAAATCCGTATGTCAACAATCGTACTCTGGACCCATGGTTCATGGCGTATCAGGAATGGCTGAACACTACTGGCAAATGTACTATAGTTGCTCATATAGCACATATAGTACCGGCCAAAATTATATTACCTTTCCATTCTTTGGAGCACAACTAGTTTTAAAGCGCACGAATGAAAAATTCGAAAATCATGGTGTATTTTGTCAAATTTCATTACCCATCGCGTACAAGACGCGCTTGTTATCAGGTGTCTACTGTAAAATTTTGAGCAATTCGATGAACTTTGACGCAAGTTATGTTAACAAAAAAAAATTGCAAGGTGATATAACTTTGGCCAGTACTGTACATTTCCTAAATGTAGAGTTTACTAATGCAATATTATATCTCGCTCGTCAGTGCGTTATATCGAAGATAAAGACGAGTACTATAACACGCTTACGGAATTCCTCATGTTCACGGTGAAGGGCCAGGCGTACATCCAGAACATGAAATTTAACAAGTTGCCGTTTAACGACTACAATATCACGGTATGTCAAACAGAACGATACATCTTATAATCTACAAATGCAAAACGTTTGCATTTGTGCAAATGCAAACTCCTTACGAAGGGGATGCTTTCAGACATCGCAGATTCCAGTGCAACACATTCCCATAAGCACATCGTCCGATCAAATACGGGCTATGCAATCTATCAGGGACGCCGTGAACTCTGTGAACTTTACTCAGGGATACGATCACCTCGCGATTTATTCGTTGGATTACATAGCGTGGGCGTCGAACAAGGTGAAATCCGTTTCAAGAGAATTTTCTCACAAGTGTATTAACCGATTGGTAAATGTAACCGATTAATCGGTTTTACAGATCATCGGCGAAGAACTGATAAGGAACTTGAGCTTAGAGATATTGGCGGTAGCGGTCGTAACGTTGGTGCTACTTAGGAATCTACTCGCATCATTTTGGGTGATGTGCTGCGTGCTGTTCACGCTAATCGATCTTTTGGGCTCGATGTACTTTTTGGGACTGACCATCGAAATGTCGTCGACCATTATGATTCTATTGTGCGCCGGATTGGCAGTCGATTACGCCGCGCATGTGGCATTGGAATTTATACGCACGAGCGGCAGCAAGCACGGTCGTTAGAAACAATATTGCATTATGAAATAGCATTTATTTTTGTTCACCACCGAGTAAAAGAGCATTTTTTGTTCGATAGGATTTATCAGTTTTCCTTCAATAACGCGTGGCTGCAGAATTCTTCAGAGCGCTGTTATAATTTCTCGTCTTATTGCACTTGCAGAACGGGCACTGGCGACGTTCAACGTCATTGGACCGGCGGTGTTTAACGGTGGCATGAGTACATTCCTCGCATTCGTCCTGCTAGGTTTCAGCCAGGCTTACGTTTTCACGACTTTTTTCAAGGTATTGATAATACTATCAAAAGTATATAATCACATATAATACAATTATTGCGAGAGAAACGAAAACGTTATATATCTTGTATCGTTTCAGTTGATCACGTCCGTAGTGGTGTTCGGTCTGTTTCACGGACTGCTATTTCTGCCAGTGATACTGAGCTTCGCAGGACCCGGTGAGAGAAAGCAAGACAGTCCGCAAAAGAGCCAAGCTATGCAATATCACAACGGTTATTATACCGTCCATCTGTCTCAAAATGGGAAAGGTAGCGCCCTTAAAATTTTTATGTTACAAAATACAATTTTTTCGAGACGAATAAAAACATACGTTGACCTTTTATTTCCCGTTTACAGATATAGAAGACGCACTTGCTAAATGACATTTAGCAATGCTTCAAAAGGCTGCTTAGGTAAAAATTGTATTTTTGTAGATAATACATAGTTCTGAAATTCGTATGATTGTGGAACGAATGTGCGCATATAACGATGTATGCGCCTGTTTTTCTTCTTTTCTTTCATGTCTTTCCATTCTTTTATATATATATACATAAAAAATCACTAAATAAAGATATCTTTCGTATAAAACGAACTCGCAAGTTATTTGCTTCGCCTGTTTGCGACCACCGTCCATCCATCTTCCTCCTGCTCATTCTTATCTACATCCATACCCTCATCTGAGCTGCTGGGCTCGTGTCTCACTGGCCGAGTAGGTCGAGCGGGTCGTTCCAAGCTCAGCCACGACTGCGGCGGTGGTAATTTTTCAAATTCCGTCTGTGCTGTTAACTGATCGCCTGCCACGCAATATCGATAAAACCTTAACAATTCCTCCGCTACTTGTATACTACTATCATCCTCTAATTCTGTGTTAAAGTGATCGTCCATACAAGTCTCTAAGTGATCGGCAACCTCGTCAGTGGTCAAGCCCTCTAGAAAAGCACGACAAAATGTAATTCGGTACGACGTTATCGTCGTTGTGTTAAGGAAATATCGTAAGTAACTAACCATTCGTGCACATTATATGCGCCACATTCGAACAAAGGTTCCTCGCACTTTCTATTGAACCCATATCATGTTCCACCGCTAACTAAAAATAAATACGGTTTAATTACACGAAGTAACAATCTTTTAAACTTGGCAATAGTACGCACAGAGTGTAAGGTAGTTAATACAGAAAATTGAAGAGACAATTGTTTCTTTAGTTTCTCCCTCTGCGAAAATGCCGTGGACTATACTGTCATTTCGCGTACTCTTTCGCATACTATTATCCCAATTGGTCTTAAGAAAGCAAAATTACTGTAAACTTTTTCAAATCTTTTCTCTCTATGATTGAAGAGATGATGAAGAGTTTTAATGGTTTCTTGTTCCTTTGGAGCCCTTCAATTTTCTGTAGCGTTAATCCTTACATCCTGTACATTTCTACATTTAAAAAAGACGTCTGTTTATTCTTGTTTTATGCACAAGAAAAATATGAATAGTATTTAGGAGTTGATAGAAAACAAGGAAAACGATATGTTAATATTTTGAGGTGCAAAAGGCGGTTGCTTTGGAGAATTTAATTTGAGATCGGAGACTGCAGAAGCTTACTCTCAGTGCTGTCCAATTACTGAATATACGTTGTGTGACTGTTACAAAGAACTGTTCAGCGTGCTCCATTTTTAGGTTATACCGTGCGCGAACATATGACTTCACTCCTCTTCAAACATCTCAGTAAACCAGTAAACTGCCGTGAACACATCGACACATGGTGGAAGGGATAACATGGTGTGCTCCATAGACATAGTATATCTAGACTGCTGGTTCTCTCAAATTTCAGGAGTGGGGGTAGAGCTCACGTAGAAAAGGATGCACTCTGTTTCGTGTCTGTGCGTTCTCTCTCGCACACGCGAAAAGAGGGGATAAGGGGAAGCAGTTACTAACCTGTACGACAGATAGTTAGGTTAAAGGGAACGATGAATGCCACACGTGCCGCAATAACACAACAAAGCGATTAGTGTAATTAATGAAGTAAATACAGTTCGATTATGCGCGTTCTTTCATTAGTTACAATTATACTTCAATTATACTATACGTACAGGTTAGTAACTGCTTCCCCTTATCCCCTCTTTTCGCGTGTGCGAGAGAGAACGCACAGACACGAAACAGAGTGCATCCTTTTCTACGTGAGCTCTACCCCCACTCCGCCAACCAGCAGTCTAGATATACCACAGTATAA